CGCAGGGAGAGGCTGGAGAGGGCCATCCAGGAGGACAAGCAGAAGAAGCTCCATCAAGAGCACAACCTGAAGGCGCAGGAGGAGGGCAAGAAGGAGCACCGGGAGCGAGAGGAGCAGCTTCTGCAAGAGAAACTGTCCACGGCTGCACAGAAGAGGCTGAAGAAAGAGGTGCAGCTGCAGAAGGAGAAGAAGCTGCTCAACCAAGCGGAGAAGCTGAAGCACGAGGCCTTGCTTAAGGAAGTGGCCAAGAAGGAAGCAGAAGAGAAGGAGATGCTGAAGGCCTCCCTGGAGATGAGTTTGACAAAGGCTCAGGAGAACTATGAGCAGCTAGTGGAGAAGAGGAACCAGGAGCTAAGGGAGAAGGCCAGGCGGGAGGACATGCAGATCCAGAGAGCCAAACTGGCAGCGGAGAAGAAGGAAAGAGAGCAAAAGCAGCACTTGGAGGCTCTAGCTAGAGAGACAGAGAGAAAGCTCCAGCATGCTGCCCAGGTGGCCGAAGAGGTCGTCCAAGAAAAAGCCCGCAAAGTGGTCTTGAGCCGTCTGGAGAAGGAGAAAGTGCAGAAGATGAACAAGCAGAAGGTGGAACAGTACGAGGACTTACGGCGCAGGGAGATCCTCCTCTCTATAGAGAGGAAGCTGGAGAGGAGCGAGCAGATCTTCAAAGAGAAGAAGACTGTCTTAGAAAATGCCAGGTCTGTGGCTCGGGCATCCTTCCATGTCCGGGAAAAGGTACGGGAGGAGACAAATGTGCGCACCTTTGACAAGATGGCCTTTGAAGCAGAACTGCATGCCCACCTGAGTAAGAAATGAAAGATCTTGTCATAGATGAGTAGGGATCCATCACCGGTTGTCCGTCATAACGCATCAGAAAGCTCCTCCGCATTAGCATTTAAAAACCAACAACAACCTCCCTAGTTTCTTATTTTGAGGGAGCAGGGTATCGCACAAAAACGTGGCAGCTATTTCACATACTGTTCAAAACATGGTTTTGTTCCAAGTGTGTTTTAAGGACTGACTGCAGTCATCTTTACCGAGGGGAAGCATGTTTATGTGTCCTCCACCCCACAAGCACATGCATTAACTCAGAGAGGGCTGCAGAAGAGGCCTGCTGACACCTGTGAGTTACCAACCGATTGTCTACACCGGAGCTGACTACAGATGCACTCTTTTCAGTTGGAAATGCAGACAACAGAGACTACTGACTAAGAACCAAAACCACCCCAGCTGATTCTGGCTGGACTGACAGGCAGCTCAGTTTAAGTTGCAGGACTGCATTTTCAAAGCTGCTGCACTCCCATGCTGAAGGTGAGGAGGGCTGGAGCAGAGAATGCCATATGTCCTCAGGTGCCCCTCGCACACTGCTGATAATGAGCTAGAGAAAGCACAGATCAAGACTTCGTAACACCATGTAAGCAGATGTTATGATCAGAGCTGGGCAGAAGCTGTAGCAAAGTGCTCACAAACACAATTTCATTTATGCTGGTTGTAACTGTTGCTCCTTCTCCTTTCAAAGGTTCTCTTACAAGCATGTATGATTTATTCTTTTCTTCCAGAGGAGGGGGAGAAAGAGGGAAGTTTGTGGGCAATCCGCAGACTGATGGGTACCCCTGCAACCCACTTGTTCTTTTAGATAGAAAAATTAATGAACCTGTGGAATCTGGCTGTTGCAGCCAACATGAATTGTTTGTAAATGGAAATCTGCAGACAGATTGCATGGAGAAATTCAGGGAAATCTCAAAACTCGAGGAGACCCTCAGTCACCTTGTCCAACTTGGCCTGCCTTGAGCAGGAGGTTGGACCAGGTGTCCTCCAGAGGTCCCTTCCAACCTAGTGGTTGTGTGAGCTGTGTACAATGAGACATTCACCCAGCTCTTATCATTGTCTACAGAGCAGGGCAGCATTTATCTGTCCATTGGTGCTAACAATTGTATTCTTACAGGGCACAAGAAAGAGTAGATGCAAAAAAATAAGGTACGTGACAGATTCTCTTAGATGAGGATCATGGCTTTTTTATAACTCGAACTCAATACCATTTAGAGGGAACTGAGTCCTTCTGCCATTAATGCACTGGAAATGTGATGAACCTACCTACACCCCATGCGCAGCATTCAAACAAGACCGTGTTCTGCTTCAGGTTTCCATGTTTACTCCCTGCTGGGTTGCATTTACACATCCAGACTAGGCACTTTTTGCTGTTCTTTTCTGGCTCTGGCCGCTGCCAGCTCTCTCTTCCACCATCTATTATGCCATGCTGAGTTGCTGTGGTGATGGCATCAGACCTGGAGCATGGGGGAGAAGCAGCAAGAACAGCCAGGATCTTGTTTCCATGCCAATGTCTCTGAACACACAACGCGGTAGCAGAGAAGACCAGAAGAGAGTTCACGTATGGCTCGGATGTGCAGTCCTCCACGCATAGATTGCTTACCAGAATTTCTCAGGAGGTGGCAGCAGGTCAAAAATCTCTTGCAAGGCTTTAAGGAAGGTGTCAAATGAGCAGCAACAACACCAGTAGGCCCAGCACACCCTGGCGCACCCTGCAAGGCTGGAGATGTTATACAAACAGTGTTGAAAAATGAAGCAAGTAGGGATTTTCTTTGATTTTGATAGAACTTGCTGTTCTTTTGAATCACGGCACAGTTGGTGCTGTTGAAGGCAGGCAGCGTGAAACTAGGAATGAGGGCACCCGAACGATGATTGCGCTGTCGGTCGTTGGCTCGCTGGGTAAGGCCGGGCAGGTCCTCGGGGGCCGGCCTTGCTCCTGCTGATATGAATGCTTTGAATACTCTGGACAAATGATGCTAACAAAGCACAAAGTACTATTTATTTATTTATTTAATTTATTTTTTATTTATTTGTTTATCGGAGTGGTTATTAAAGTACAACATATCCGCTGGTGAAAAGCGCTAATTAATACCAAAAAACTGAAAATGTCAGTGGGAAGGACAGCTGTGTTGCTGTTTCCAGCTAGGAGTCTGTCCCTTCACCCTCCTCAAAACAGTGATCGATTGGAACAGTGAAACCAATCCTGCTCTAACACCAGACGAGGTCCTTGATAAAAGAACAGTCTTCACATATTGTTTGTACCGTAGTGTATGCCCTTGTAGCTGCAAAGACCTAGAAAGGAGATGCCCAGTGGCCCAAATCCATCCAGCACAACATTTCCCCTGCTCCCTGGCAGTACTAGAGCTGGGATAAAACCTGCAGTGACTCCAGCATAGACGATGTTTCATCTCGTTTGCAGCATTTGAGGCTGGAGAGGATGCCTGTCAGCATGAGTGAGGGCTTTTGCACCCCATGTTGTCGCACTGCAGTTGAAGTTCACTGCTGCATCTGTTTAGCAGAGGGCAGATGAGAAGAGCTGGGAAGCAGGGGTAAAAAAAGGCAAAATGTAGTGGGTGAACAAGCAGGCACAGTCCCTAACTGGAACAGCAGTTCTTCCCTAAAAGTCTGCTGCAACCTATCTGAAGGCTTTGTCCAAACCTCTCTCTGATGAGGTGTTTCCAGTGTAGACTGAAAACGTTTTACAGCCCAGGAGACATGTCTTGGCCACTGACTGTAATTACACCTGGGGTCCATCTCCTGCTGCTGACTGAGTTTGACACCTTGGGGCTACAGCTGAACTAATTAAAACACACCTAACGTGGTGGTAATTGGATTGGCAAACTATTGTTCCTATACCATGCAGTGTGCAGCTCAAGTTTTGAATGTGCAATCTAAGAAAAAAAAATATTTTTTTTCAAAAGACATTAAGCTGTGTATGGATATTTTTTTATTTCTGTAGTGGCTCCAGTCCAATGTCTGTGAAAGTTAATGGAGTTTATAAGCTCTTTAAAATTGTGGCATGGAAAATTAAGCCAGCAAGTTGGGTGGAAGCACAGACGTATTTCTTGGGTCTGCTTATGCTTCTGCTTATTTGGGAAGAATTTTTACTGCTGGATTTCTGTAGGAACAGAAATTAAACCCTGGGACACATGTAAAATGTATCGCCCTCCTAGGTGAGGCTTATTTTGGTGGTTTTAGTACTGAGCTGCAGGCCAGGGCGAACTAAAAATCAAAGCAAGCAGCATGTTACCTCACAGCTCAGAAGTAGATCACAGCGTATTTAGAGCAGAGGAGCAGCTGATGGCATTTGGTCATGCAGAAAGATAACATCGGTTGGTCCTCTCCGGGGATTAGAAAACACATTTTAGGTTATTGCTGTATTATAATCATAAGGTTATAATAAAGATTTTGCTTCTAGGCCATTTGCGCATGCCGCAGAATGACCACTAAACCTTGAAATACCTGCACTTTAAAAACAGCAACAAAAGGACAATTACCAGGAAGCTTCTGTGACCGGTAACACAGCTTAGATCCAGCCAGCCTTAAATTCGCAGGTTTCAGTTCCTAAACTCTTGGAGTCTAGCTCCAGGTTTCATGTTGCATCCCATAGATCGAATGGGGTAACCCAAAATCTGTGGATCCAGTGTCACTAAATGTTCAAATCTAAAGCCAAACACTGACATGTAGAGGCACCTCCAACCCCACTGGAATGCCCCTGCACTGCTCACTGCTGCCCCTTGACTAGGACCACTGCTAAGAAGTTGACTTGCTAGAAACCACTCTGAGTGTTCACAGGGTTTCTGAAGCTGAGATACCCCAACATTCTGAAGAGATCAAAGTTCTATAAAGAATTGCAGGAATGAGACTTGGGATTAATTTTCAGGTAAAATTCCCATTGTTAGGTACTAATGTTTTCCATAGTGAGACAACACGATCGAGCACACAGTACTGGAAAAAAAAGAGCCTGTCACGCCATTGGCTGTGGCAGAATAAGACCAGTAATTTCAGAGGCACCACAACATCAGAGGACTCACACCTGGGGGAGAAGCACTGATAAAAGAACAGTTTCTTTTGCCTGGAGCTCTGGATGAGATTTTTCTCACATTTTGAGTGGTCACAGACAATCTTGTTTGTGTGGATTGTCTAGTTTTTAAAAGCATTGGGGCTAAAGCTGGAGCCCTTTAGTGCCAGTGAGAGAGCCAACAATTTCTTCTGCATGAAGCCTCCCTCTGTGTACAAAATTCATCACTAAAACACGATCTCTCTGTTAAAGCTGAATTTGGCAGACACGTTCAAAAGCTATTAGGAGGAGCAGCTGCACCACTACTAGTTAATATTTTACAATGTATTTTTTAACCCAGTTTATCATAAATTCATAGCCTGGATCAGAGAGATGTGAGGATTAGATTTTGCGCCTTAGTTACCTCCTGTGTTTCTCTTGTGATGTTTAGGGAGCTCCGGGCTCAGTCAGTGCTAAAATTTCTCCTGGCATCAGAGGAATTATGTTCACTAAACAAATGCTGAATTTGCAGCACACACAGGTCTGAAAGGGGACTTACTTTGGTGTAACTGTCTTTACTAAACCAAGCCTGGACAGGTAGACGTGGTAAACACAGAATTTGCAATACAAAGTCCGTCAGCCACTAGTTTTCCAGAAGTTCTGGTGACAGCAGTTCAGAGCCACCTCTGCTAGCTGTCGTGAGGGAAGTGACTTCAGGAAAGTGATGTTTTCTGCTCCCTTACCTCATCCTACCTTAGGACAGCTTCTCATCATCACCAGTTGTTACACCAAAGCAAGATTTGCTTTCGGCTGTGGATGTTCTTCTGGTGGCAAAGACAAATAGTTAAAAGTCTATTTTTTTATCTTTTTTTTTTTTTTATGGTGAGTTTTTCTTCTTAAAGAAGGTGCAAGGAGGTATAAGGAGCAGACATGAAAAATCATAATGCTTCTATTTCTAGGCAGGAGGCAACTCTACCCTGTTTTTATT